TTTTGGACAGCTTTATTCCTGCCCTCCATAAGGATCAGTTGTATCTTCAGTAAAAATGTGAAAATTACTGTCCTTAGTGTAAGAGAGGATTCCCCCCTTTTGTTTACTGGACTTTATAGTGGTTTATTTGGATAATGGACTTTCATTCTCCCTGTCAATTGTAGTCAACATTTCTAAAACACTGAATGCTTTTCTGTATGTTATCGCTTAGGTAACCCCTGTGTGTCACGTAGATGAATACATAAGTACAACTGCAGGAAGAGTTGTAGTTCTATTTTTTACTATTAGGATATTCTCCAGTAATATGCATGGATCAACATTTTCCTATTAACACGAAATACTGAGCTTTAATTTCCCAGGCTAAATGGATGTTAGGAAAAGTGGAACTCATTATTAACACGAAACATTGAGTTGACTTTTCCTTGCTTTAGTTTTCCAGATTAGATGGATATTAGGAAAAGTATTTTCATTTTTATTTCATATTTTTAAAAAAACCTGCAATTGTCTCAAACTGCCATACATCTGAAACCAATTTAATAAAAAATCATTTTGAAAATGCAAGGCATATATTTTGAGTTATACATGCCATAGGGTTTGGCAAATTTATTTGCTATGTCACACAATAAAAATCTCCAAGAGAGATTTAAATATTAACATTTCAGTCAAGCGGTTAGCTGTTGAGCAAGCATGGATACAATTTCCCTGTGGATTGTTTAATACCTGCGGATTTCTGGAAGTTTTACATTGGTAAACTTTGCTATGGTCCTAAAAGAAAATGTTATATGTAAGCAAGAACATAGTCTTTGGAACAAAGTATTTAAATTTTCATTCTGAAAGAGATTTCTAGATCATGTACTTTCCAATTTAAATCACTTTGGAAAATGGATAATCTCTGGAGGAAAAAGATTATTAAACTTTATTATTAAATTTTATTCACCCTGTTGAAAGCATTTTAATCTATTCATGATGGAACTTCCCTTTCCAGTTTGAAAATAAGGGAGCTACAAGATTACAAGACCTCTTTTTTTCATTTAGGTTCATAAAAATGGATGAAAAAGTAGTGAATATGGAGAACTTTAATTAAAAACAGTCCATGAAAGTTTCTTAGCATTTTGAAAAGCTGTGAAGCTGACTTCTTTAACCTGAGTTGAGTTTGCCAAAATGATAGGGAACACAGACATGTCCAGATTCTGTTATGAGAGCTGTGCACATTTCTTGTCACCATCTTCAACATCAGAGTATTTAGGTTAGTGCTTGATGTAAAAAATCATGTTCATACGATGCAGCAGTTTCTAGATATGCAAGTTGCTGTGGAAAACCCCTGTAATTATCCACATCACTCCTTTAAATATGCGAGCTATCCTTAGTGATATGTTCACATGGAAAAGTATTTGTTTTTGATATTTTCTCTTTTATAGTAGCACTGAATTTTTACATGAACCTGGATGCTAGCTGCACCATTGTGCTGCCTATTTGGAAGACCTGTAGCGTTTTAAGAATAAAAATAATGGGATGTCATGCATATTATGACCTTTGGTATTAGAACTTATATTACAGAATGCATAATGAGTCACATGCTGGATAAGACCTCTTGCTTATTTCATCTCTTCATCCAAAAATCTGCTTAATATTTTTATTAAGCAATGAATTTGTTTGTTCTTATACATCAGTTTGTCAATTTATTAAATATGAAGTTGTAAAAATGGCAGATCTCCTTTGCAGATGGGGAAAAATGTATACTTTCCAGAGTTTACCAAAAAAGCCCATTTGTAATAGAGCAATTCTATTACTATTCCATTTTCTCTTCCCCTTTTAAAGTACACTTTCTTGCTAGATGGGTTTGTCTTTCACTTTTTTGTTATATATGAAGCCTGCTATTTATTAGTAATACAATTAGTGGTGAGAATGAACATCTTGAGGAAAGGAGTCCTGTTCTGGAAAGCATAACAAATTCTTCCCTGCCTGATAGCCACCATTTACATCCTAAATGTAAATTATATTTGTATTCTAAGTACCCATAGCCACAGAGTGAAAGAGTAATGGTGAGTCTTACATATGCACTTGCTTACCCAAACAGCTCTTTTTATATTTGAAATGGGAAATGGACAGAAGAATGGCAAACAGATCAAACTACCAATTTGATTTATGTCTTTGTAGCAATATACACTAGAGTACATCAGCCAAACCAAAGCAAAGATAAAATGATTGTTGAAAAATAAGATACTGGTTTGTTGAATTTATATGTACTTATCAATATTCTGTGCATGCTCTTTTTATCGACTGGAACATTCAGTGTGTCTTTAAAGACAGAGATATTCACTACATGGGTAAAAGCATCCCAAATCTCAACATTGGAGAACAAGAATATGTACAACATACTCCATGCCTCAGTGGACCAACCAATCATATGTGCTAATACTTTTTTACATCGTCTCTATGTGAATGTAAGCATATGCCAAAGAAGGCATCATGGCAATAAGTGAAGCAAAGCATACCAACTTCTCCCTTACTCGGTCAGTGAGCTTTCATCAGCATCTTGATGAAGGGATCAATACAGAAGCTTCCCATTTGATCACTGCAACAGGTTTTGCGGATGAAGTGATTCAGTTTGCCAAAAACTTGGTCACCTGAGCAATCCTTGGTGGTAATTAGGGCCCTGAGTCCTGACCTATTACATAGGACTTCTTTTGACCCCTGGGGTGGATTAGGGTGTTGCCTGGGTGGTTCTGTGCCTAGTATCCTGGCAGTTAAAGGCCAGGAAGAGAGGTAACCTCTTGGGTCTGAGAGATGGTTAGTGCTTTTTTGCAGAGGGCAGGTTACCAATCTTGAAGGAATCTCTGTGCTCCCTTCTGAAACGGCCATCCTAGGATCCAATTATTTGGTATCCAATTTTCCACTTTGGGCGAAGGTTGATACTGAAGGTGGACCAACTTCAAAACTTCCTAGAAGTGGATTATTTACACCCTTTTCAAGTCAGGGATAAGCCCCTGGTATAGGACAGATATGGCTTTAATTGCGCTCTTGAATGACCTGTATCAGGATCTGGCTGGAGTGGTGCACCCCTCTAGACCTGTTAGATCTCTTGGCAGCTTTCCATACTGTTCATTGTGGTATTTTATTGGACCATTTATGAGCATTCATTTATGGGGACTGATTGTTTTGCAATGGTTCTTCTCTTGGGCAGATTCAAACTGATGGTGTGTGTGTGTGAGAGAGAAACATGTTGGTCCAATGACCCCAATAGGTGTAATGCTACAGGGGTTGGATGCCTCTCCTATGCTCTTCAACAGCTATATGGAACCACTGGGAGACGTTATCTGACAATTTGGGATGTGGCAACAGGAAGCTGTAACTTTGTATTGCCACTTCAAGTTGTATAGTTTGAGATGCTACAATTCTGTATCCTGGCACCTATATGAAAAATAACAGATCAAAATAGAAGGTGGAGCTGTTGGTTTTACATCTCTCAACAGCAATATCTCTGCATAGGCATGCACTATTATGAAGGAACATGGTCACAATTTGGGGGTCTTTCTGAACTAGTGGCCTCTGCTTTAACTGTGGATGGAAAGTGGCTGGGGGAGCTTTCCCCAGCTTCGACTGATGTGTAATTATAACTACCTTTTGCAGAGGACTCCAGTACAGCAATTCATGCTCTAATCGCCTGATTAGACTGATGTAATATGATTTATCTGAGCTGCCCTTGAAGACCACTTGGAAGTGACAGCTGGTTTAGAACACGGTGGCCCACTCACCTGTTCTTGGGCTAGGAACAAATAATCATTGTATAATAACATTACTGTGACATAACAGACTTGCATTGTGGGTTACAATTTAGGATGCTGGAGGTGGGGGTTGACCCATAAAGCCATTTTTCTTGGCATCTAGAAGATTATCTGCTCCAATCAGTTCCTGAATGAAGAAGGCTCAAGCTAGAAAGAACTACTGTTTCCTGGGTGGTGGTAGTGTTTTGGATAGCTTTCCAAAAGAAATTCGGCTATTTGCCTCCTTGCTGACCTAAAAATGTTAAAATTATTTTGGAGAGCTTCCTTCTAAGTTTTTGCACTGCAGCAGTTTTTTGTTTTTTTACAATTTTTTACTTGGAAGTTTTTATTTTTTATTTTTATTTCATTCTAACTATATCATGGATGTTTAACATGACATACTGTAATTATTTTTTGCTATATTCTACCATGTAAGCTGCCAGAAGTCACTAGATTGTGGTGAATATAGATTTAATTAATACTGTAAGTGGACAACTGTATTGCCTCAAGAGGCAGACCTACTACAATCTTATAAAAAAATTGAATTTGAATTAGCTATTACAGAATATCTGTTTCAAATTTGTGCCAAACACAAGGGAGGCAGTATTTTTGCCCTACATTTTTCTTTATGCAAATACAACAACATGCTCCTTGTAGGTTTTGTTTGTGAAATAAGTAGATTTTTTGCCACTTCCTAAGTAGCAGGTTGGACTGCTAGTTCTGAAAACTAGTTGTAGTGATGATAGAGTGATCCTCCAAACAACAAACTGGTGACAAACCTAAATGCAAGTTATTCTGCTTTAAGGGAGACAAATGAATTGCTTATTCAGGGAACAGGTAAACTCATGAACATCTCTACTTGTGAACAAACATTTGGTTTCCCATATGCATGTGTACAACAGGGACACACCAATTGAAACTGAACACATATGAAATAACTCACAATATTTCTATTGCTGGTGTCTTACAATATACTCCACCAAAAAGCTGGCACTACTGTAATATAAATTAATGTGATTCTCCTATAGAGATTTCCCCATAACTTGCATAAAGGAGTACAAGAACAAAAAAAACCACCCTATCACAGCAGAGAAAACTAAACAGGAATTGGAAAGGACATAAAGTAAAGATTAAAAATATTTATTATGCGTTCTGCTACATGTTATAATTGGCTGTCAAAATACAATCCGCAGATGGAATTTTATTCAGGGATTTATGCTATATAGTCACATATCCCTCGTCAAGGCGGTAACTCGCAGGCAGCTAATAAAATTATTTTCCTCTATGTGTACAAAGTAAAAACAATGCAATGCGTTTCAGATAGTAACTAAACTCTGTTTTATCGGGATACAGATCTTGGTCGCTCACTTTCTGTTGCCAAATAGGCAGCCAAGGTCTCTTGAAAATCATGAAGGTAGTTGTATTGCTGTAAAGAAAAAAAGGATGCTTCAGAATGATTGGACTTCAACATTAGGATGACATAACTTTTTTCTAATGATATGGGTTGGAAGGAGTGGAGAACCACAAGGAACATAGAATGGATTCCCATTCTCCAATCTACCAAACAGACTCTCCTCTCCTCTGGAGGTGTAGAGACTGTATTGGTTCATATAAGAGGACAGACCTCTACAATATTTTCCATTAATAGCTGAACTGGCTGCAGAGGTTAGTCCCTGGATTCTTCCTACCTCCCCTGAAAAATCCTTGATTTCAGCAATCTTCAATAGAAAACACCCTGCCTGAGGGGAAAAATAAATACTTCACAGTACTTAATTCTAACATGCACCATGTAAAGCAAGGAGATTCAGCAAATAAGTACAAAGTAGTTTCATAGAACATAGTTGTGTTATAGTCCTTCACTTACAACTGAGTGCAATTGTACTCCTAAGTGGTATCGTTATTAGGTTGGTCATAATGTGGGGCTGCTCAATTTAGTAATCGGTAAGAAAACTTGGCAAATGGCCATAAAGTTGCTGAGCACCCAAAATGTATCATGTGAACATTGGGGCAGCTGTTGGAACTTCAAATTTGAGTCATAAGTAGTCCCATGGAGGTCCACAGTAACTTCAGACAGTTCTAAGCAACTAGTTGCAAATTGAGGACTACCTTTATTGTAACTGCTGTATCTAAACAAGTGATATTATTTATTTTTATTTATTATTAGTATTTCTATATTGTTCTACTTCAGAATGGCTCCAAGTAGAATCTTTTGGCTGTAAATAAAAATATAAGTTTATAATAATAAAAACAGCTTAGAAACATCAAAACAGTGAAAAAACATAATAGCCCTAATAAGCAGTTAAATTATGAAAGAAACCTTCTCAACCCCTCCCCCCACCAAGGTGCTCTTTCAGCTCTTTGTCAATACTCAGTAAGGATATGTGGGTCTTATATGTAGGACAAGCAGTTCCCCAGAAGAGGTGCCAGTGCCACCATTAAGATGATACTCTGATTCCCATAACCTGCTGATTTATAAACTATTCAATCCATTTCAACATGGATGAACACGTGTTGTGCAAGCCCAGCTATACAAAACAAGGAAAGTTAAATAATTTTTGGTTAAGTATTCAGCATAAAAGCAGGCTAATGAGAAAGAAGCAATGTAATTTACAAAATTTGTTAAACAATGAGGGCAGGGCTATGGACAGGAAAGCATGAATGCAGAGCAAGGTATAAATGTTTCAATGTACCACTTTGGTGGGAAATACCTAGCTGCATTCGTATGTGCAGGAGAACAGAAGCTGATGCTGGACCTGGCTGGATATGAGACGAGACTGGCAGAGCCCAGAAAAACCAACCAACCTGAGCGCTGCTAGTTAGCTGGTATAAAGCTAGTCCACTCCAGGGGTGCACCATGGATAGGTGTACAAGCGCCCAACAGAATGAACTAGCAATCTAGGCTCTCAGGACTGCATTGTGTGTAGCATTTGTAGATTTCACAGACACTGTATGCCATATGCTAAATAAATAATGCTTAAATAAAAAAAATATATCAAGCGGGATCCAGCAGTAGCCATGGAGGTGGTCTAATGGCCTGAGGGCAAATAATCCAGATTTAATCCAGAAAAGACTTTTAGTACCAAGCAAAATGTATACAGTTGAGTACCCTATAAAGTTTTGGGAAATATGAAAGGGTACAGAAATAGAGTAAACAAACAAGTTAAATATATTTTAAGCTCTATTTCTTCCTTGGCAGGTCTAACCTTTAAAGTTTGTATTGCACCTGAACCTCTCAACTCCCTCATGCAGTCTATTGCCTGCTGCGGAGTTATGGTGTCAGATATCTGGAGCAGAAGGCAAGCCGCTACTGTAAAGAAACCATAGAATAACCTAAATGAACAAGACATTTTTAGTAAGGAGGAACAACCTGTTTTAAAGGTAAACAAGGTACCAACATTAAGATTCCTATGCTTATTCATGAATTCTCAACTTTCCACGTCAACTATTTAGGAAAATATCAGTGACAGCATTTATGCAGATTAGGCCTATTAAATGCAGGAACACCTGAGCCTGAAACAAGTATTCAAATCCTTTGTGTTTATAGTTTTAATAGGGATTTATCATAGAAGCCGAGCCAGCTGGAGTCAGAGAGCGCAGCTTCTATGTAAGCAGAGAGAGGTGGTCAAAAAACAAAGATAGCAATCACAGTCATGCAATTCAAGCCCAATCCTAAAAGGTAGCTGTGACCATCTTACTTTTTTTTTTACTACCCTACCAGGCAGATACGCTCATATGTAGGATTGTGGGGGAAATTATTTGCATTTCTTCCTTTGATTATATTTGTTATTGAAAATACGGTAATAGCTAAAAAATGGAGATTTGCAAAACCATTGGAGAGATCAAGAGTAAATTAAAGGTCAACATAGAAATAACATACTTAATATTTTTCCTATTTTACAGCACACTCAGAGATACTTGGAAACTGTGATGTGAGATGCTGGCACTTGCTTTACTACATGTCACCTTCCTGTGGAATGCTTTTTACATGATTTTTTTAAAAAAAAATAGTAGTCAGGTGGTCTGAAGTACTAAGGGAAGTGTCTGCTGTCACATTATTGCTCATGGTTATGGCTTCAGCTTCACTCTTGAAATTTTTGCTGCAATACATGTGGGAATCTTTTAGGCTTGCCAAAACCTTCACATTATTGGCTGAGTAGAGCATTATATCAAAGAATCCCTGATATGACACAGATAGTATGCATTCACTTTTCTTTTTTCAGTTTGTAGGTAACCATGTATCTCATATTCTAGCTTCTCATGACCAACTTAAAAAAAACCCTGATAATTCTTACAGTTTATAGAAAACTATGTTTTATCTCCTTCAAACTTAAAAATTAAAAAGTCAATATGAGCCTACTGTTGGCTGTGAAGAAAATAGTTCTGTGATTGGCTGATTCATGTTGCAGAATATTACCAGTAACATTAATATTAAAAAAGCAATACTTTGTACTTTTTTAAAAAAAGCACTTCACTTACTGAGACAGGATCGTCCAAGTCCTCCATAACAACTGAAAGAAATTTAAAAAATGAATATATTGCAATAGCTGTAAAAATGACAAACTCCATTACCAAGATAGTTTTTAAAAATCTGCCGTGAATGACCTTTGTTCGTATATAGAGGTTTTCAGGTGAATCTATTATTCCAACGTATAACTTAAAAACAATAGTCTTTTTTTCAAGGACTATTGATATTGCTTACCAGCTTTCTCACAATAAGATGTGATCATATATTCTATAGTAGTATTTTTTTATGGTAGTTAAATTGTCAAAGGAGTCTGAATAGGAACTCTGCAATTTTGAAGTCTCTTAGATAGAAAGCAGAAAAAAATTATGTATCTCTGATCTGTATTTTGGAATGATACAGCAGAAGCTGACTGCAGTAAAAAGAAGTAAAATTTTGGCACAGAGGTGGCAGATGAACATTTAGTGATTGAATCAATTTCATTTACTCGAAGATAAATCACTAGAGTACCAGAACTCAACTGTATTGTGGCTTTTTGTTTACTTTCAAGGCAGTTCCTCAGTTCATTTAGAATAACACAGCATCTGGCAATATCTGGTGTACCTCCATCAGGAATAGGATGGTGATGCACAGTGATCCCATAATTCTGGTATGTTTCCATGAGGTGTGGGACACGGTACTTTGTGAGTTCTCCTTTGGTACAGAGTACAAATACATCGAGCACCCCGTGATTTTTTAGTTCATCTATAAAAAAGGCAATATATTACGTATTTGCTAAAGTGTTAAATACAATCTGAATCCATACATATTTATGATATTGATGGAATTGATTGCAAAATTACCGTTTCCCCAAAATAAGACCTCCCCGGATAATAAGCCCAATTGGACTTTTGAGTGCATGCACTAAAATAAGCCCTCCCCTGAAAATAAGACCTCCCTGAAAATATTGCAACACAACAGCAGCCATGAGGTGATCACCTTCCCCGCCTCCTGCACCTCAAAAATAATAAGGCCTCCCTGAAAATAAGGCCAAACGCTTATTTTGGGGGTCAAAAGAAAATAAGACCCTCTCTTATTTTCAGGGAAACACTAGTTAGAAAAGCGTAATTTGCAAACTTTACTAACTAGCCTTGCCATGAGTTGTAATATGTATATCATAGTCTGTTAGGCAAATTACCTCCCACAGACCCATTAGATCTCACAGGGTTGGCCTCCTCCGGGTGCCATCTACTAGCCCATGCCACCTGGCTATTACCCGGGGGAGGGCCTTCTCTGTGGCAGCTCCGGCCCTCTGGAATGAACTCCCCGCAGGGATTCGGACCCTCACCTCCCTCCAGGCCTTCCGAAAAGCCGTCAAAACCTGGCTTTGTCGGCAGGCCTGGGAGTGATGAGTTCCCTCCCCTCTCGACATGTATGGTTGTGCGACTGTTGCCTACTTTTATTATGTGTATTTTGTCTTTTATGTTCCCCCTTTTTTTTCCCTTTGAATTGTTCGCCGCCCTGAGTCCTCCCGGAGAAGGGCGGCATACAAATAATAAAATACCAATACCAATACCAAAATAAAAGATGACAGATTTAAACCTGCCTAATTTTAGCAGTAGAAATTGCACTGTTGTGTTTCAAGAAAGATAGCAATATTTATTGAGTACATGGTACTCAGATTATTGGATTAAAACTAGTGTTAATAAAAATGTCCATTTCAGAAAAAAAAACCGTGAAAATGCTTATATTTGAAACAATATACAAAAACTGCAAGTAGAAAATTATAAAACTGCACCATTTAAATAAAGAAAAATCTATAGCTTTGCCTCTTGCTGAATCTTAAATATCAGTAGCTGCACTTAATGTCAGTGATGAGTGACGCTAGGGAGTACCAACATCTAGAGTGTTAAATTTTAAATTATAACGTATATTTTATAAGTACTTTTTCCATCCAGTGCACTTATTTAACAAACCAATGTTATTTCACTAAAGCTCATACCTTAACTAAGATTGTCATATGAACAAGCCCATGTATTATGCTTTTTCTCCAGTTGCCCATCATCAGATGTTAATTAGGTGGTTAACAGAGAAAGACTAGGTGCTAGAATTCCAGTTGTGGAGTGTTTTTTCAGGATGTTTCATCTGGTATCTAGTCTACTTTCAGGTGCAACGATAAGTATTTTTATGCCATATATTAATGCAATTGCTTCGCAGAGTTCTCTGTTTCTTATTTTTATGTTTCTTACAACAATGTTATAGGTTTATGAGATACAGGTCTTTAACACAAATAAATGGTTAACTGCAGTTCCAAGGAATTAAAACTAGATTTGTGAAAAATAAGTTACTGAAGGACATATCTCTGCCACTGATAATTACCTATATCTTTCTGAAGGTTTCTTTTAATATTTTTGAATCGACAACCTAAATCAAGTAAGAAAGATAAAAACAAACAATGCTATTAATATCAAAACAAATATTTAAAACATTCATAGATTCATTTTAGCCACTTCTATGCACTTACCTGGTAGTGAGCTGATTCCTAGGAATTGGGAATAAGTTGGTGATAAGGGTAACCTACAGGAAGAATGCACATAACCCAATGGCAGTAAGTTTTTACAAATTGCTATTTTTATCTACTGCATTTACTCTCAAGACATACAATAAAACCCTAGCAAGTTGAAACTGTTTATTCATTGGGATCTTCCCCACCTCATTTTTTATATTTGAATACTGACTATAATCTGAATAACCCAGGATGGAGGCTCCTTAAGCCAAAGAGAGATCCAATCTAGAACTATGGATACATTTCCTGACAATAATAACAATTAATCCATGGAATAGCTTGCCTCCCTGAGTAGTTAGTGCTCCAGCACTGTATGTCTTTAGGAAAAGATTGGATAACCATTTGTCTGAGATGCAATAAGGCCTCCTGCCTTGGACTAGGGCTAGACTAGAACATGGGTGTCAAACTCAATCGTGTCACATGACGTATCACAAAGTTTTTTGCGGAATGGGGTAGTGTGGCTTTGTGCACGACACATCTGGCTAGTGGGCCACCAGTTTGACCCTGGACTAGAAGGTCCCTTCCAGCCCTATAATTCTCTGAATCGGGTTTCAATGCCTATCAAGGAGCATCTTTCTAGATTCAGAGGTCCTGCCGGATCAGTAAGTGGAGGCTGTGGCTTTTGTTAAAGTTTTGGCAGTTTGCGGCTTCACTTGGGATGAGAAAACCTGACTACAATGGCTCAGATCTCCATTACCATCTTGACTAAGCAACTGTAACAGGGCTTCAATAAGTGTAAAATGCAAGGCTCTGGGTGTTTCAAAGGGATATATTGTATTAGTTTTGGATTCTGCTTTGGCTTCCTGTTAACCTGGGTGCAATTTAAAGTGCTGGTTTGACCTATAAAGCTCTTTATGGCTTTATGCCTAGTTACTGCAGGATTGCATTTCTCCACTAGAAACAGCTCAACCATTCCTGCACTAGGCAGGGGATTGGGCTAGACAATCCCCACAATTCTTCCAATCTTTACATTCTTTGGTTCAATTTATGGAAAAGAGTAATAAATATACCTAAGATGGGAAAATAGCTTAGTGAAAATATTCATCCCCAAGTATGAAACATTTTAAAAAGCATTAGAAATCACATCCAAGACATGGAGAGTTAGACATATGGATAAAGTTTAGGCTGTGAATGCAACAGGTGTGCCTAATGATGAAAAGTAGCCATTAAGAATTCTCTGTAACTCTTCTTTGTCAATCTTTACATGTACACTGAATATATAGAAGGGGAGGAATATTATATTGATTCCAATGGAAGAGATTTTTAAACTAAATACTAGACCAGTGATGGCAAAATATGGCTTAAAAAAAGACTGAAATCAGTTGGCCAGCGCACGCCTCGCGTGCCCTGACAAATGGCTCCATGTGCCTCCTGTGGCACGTGCCATTGGTTCACCATCCCTGTACTAGACCAATAGAAGACCTATACTGATCACCTCATTCTACATTCCAAAATTTTGGTATAAGATCTAGGTATAGCCAGCTCTAAATTTATTGTCACACTTACAATCAATATTCCTAATCACATTACAGGTGCAGCTTTTAAATAAAAACTTTATATGCATACATTTTAATTCAAACACAGGTCATCTCAACATGAATGACATAAGTAGGACAATTTAATCCATCTAACACATTAAAAAACCTGGAAACCATCCACAAATGGTGAATGAAATGTACAAAAATGTTTTTAAAACAATTAAAAAGTGTTTGTTTCTGTCTATATGCTTAGTCAATTTACAGACAAAGACAAGAAGAGGGTTATGTTATTACTTTGAATTCTTGAAAAGAAGCAAAATGACTATTATAGTGTTCAGAAGAGATACAGACATTTAAATGAGACGACGGAAAATTAAAAAGTAGCATCTCATTTATATAATGTGAGGTAAATTAAGAACACCAATATGTTAATCAGATATGGACAGAATATTAAAATTGCTCCCAAAATTAAAAAAACAACAGATTTTTGCTCTACCATCTTTAGTCTTACCAGGATATTTGAAAAGGTGTCTGTTCTTCCTCCAGGGGCTCCTCGTCTGATGAGTCAAACTCGTTTACCTGCATTGCACACATCTCAAGGAAATATTGCAAGAAAATAGTTTTATGCCATGAACACATTTACTGCATGAGTTATCACAGGATAACCAAATTTCCTTTTCCATACATAAGAATTTAATATCTTGAAAGCCTTTACAATTGCCTACAAGTAACTGATTAGGACTGCTACATGCTTAGTTTTTTTTTAATGCTTATGCGCCTAAAATTTAGAGTTCCTCTAATATTTCAAATTAAATAAGAACAGGAAAAGAAGGATATGCAGCTTGGAAGGTAGAAATTAGGATTAAAAGGGAAGAGTTATTATAGTTGTAGATCACCTGGGGATCTTTGAATCGCTAGTGGTGAAAAGAGTATCAAAGATTAGGATAGAGATTCTGAGTTATGAGGGAAAAATAACCCAAAACAATGCTGAGACTTTGTTGGAAAAATAAACAAATATGCATTAGGTCCAAGAACCACTGAAACCAGTTTAGGGAAACAAAGGTAAGAATGTAATTAAAGGATATTTGTGTGAATAAAAGTTATAGGATTGGAAATGATTTTTGGCTCATCATTTTTGAAAAAGCACTAAGGAGTGAAATGGTTTGTTAGAATTAGTTGTAAGAATATAGCAGATGGGAGAAGGAAACAAATATAGTAATTTAGATAAACTTTAGGAGAAATATGAGCTTTTAATTAGGGCTTTGCTGTGCATCAAATTTAATTCCTTACAATTTGTTTTAAGCTATTCAGATTTGCAGATGGGCTGCAGATAAATTAAATAAAAAAATCAAGAAAACTGCTTCTGATCATGCAAAGCTGCCACCATAACACCTGTTTACAATTCTTTAAAGCTTTTTTCTGTAACCACACACTAACCGTGAAAGGTAGTTACGCCATGGCCATGGGGGAAAAAGATGCAGCTGTTGCATTTCATGCTCTAAAGCACCTTTATGGAATCAAATCTAAATACTATACAATTCGTATTATTACCAATTAGCTACCTTGGGAATATCACTTATACGTTCCCATCATACTATTCTTTTTCAGCTTAAGAAGGATTTGAAATAGTAATTGACAGAAATTTATTATTTGTATTTACTCTACTTATCTCACATAAGTGACTCTGGGCAGCCAATAAACCCAAAATGCAAAATTAACGAGACACACTGTTAAAACAAAAATTATTACAGCCATTACAAACCATGGTCTGCGGGTAATAAAGTGAAATGTTAAAGAGATATTTAAAGGAGTCTGGTAGCACCTTTTCCGACCAACATATTTGTATGAAAAGGCATAGATTTTCAGGTAGCTCTTCATCAGCTACTGTTAAGTGGTGAGAGGTGTTAGTCTATGGTTGGCAAACTCACCGATGCTTATGCCAGCTGTACTCATGCACCAGAGGGTAAGACAAGAAACAATGGATGGAAACTAATCAAGGAGAGAAGCAACTTGGAATTAAGGATTTTAACAGTGAGAAAAATTAAACAGTAGAATGCCTTCAGACGTTTAGGGTGCTTCATTACTGGAGGCTTTTAAGAGACTGGACAATCACTTGTCTAAAATGGTATAGGATCTCATGCTTGAGCAGGGGGCTGGACTAGAAGACCTCCAAGGTCCCCTCCAGCTCTATTTTGATTCACGTGTTGATCGGAACAGATGCTCCCAGAAATCGGATTTTTTTCCATCAGAAGCGAAACGTTGCTTGCGGCTTCACGCATTAAAAGATATGCCAAACTTTAATTCTACTGGAGCACCGAGATGGATGACACGCCCATTCGCCACCAGGCTTCTATTCTTCTAATTGATCCTTATGCGGCGCCTGTGATGAAGGGCTCCGCCTAAGATTCCATAGGGGACAATTGGAGGGCAGCCATTGGCGGATTCCTCCCGGATTCGTTCCTCCTCTCACTAATCCACCAATCGTATTCCCTAACCTGTGATGGAGGCGTGGTTAGGCAACTGGGGGAGGCGCCTTAGAAGTAGCGGCAAATGTGGCTTCGCGCGGAAGCCGCTCGGGGCGTCTCCTCAGGGCGCTGGATTGTTTGAAATGATTAGCCCAAATTGATACATGTTAGACACAATTGTCGCAAAGCTGCTTTTTCAAGAGGCAACTGGACTATCCGGTCCAGTTCACCAGAAAGTCCAGTTGCCTCTTGAAAAAGAACCTTTGAAACAACCATGATCTGGATGACTGAGAATCTCCACAGACAGTTCGACATCGTTTCTTTGCTAATTTAGCTTCCTTGCATCCCCCCCACTTTTCGTGCATTAACAAAGATTTTTAAACTAGTTTTAAAGAAATCCTCTAACCTAAAACCAATAAAACAGAAGTAACACTATTTAAAGTACAACGTTTGCCCACCGTGGGCGAAGGAAACTCAGAATAAACTCGGGCCCGCTTATCAATTCCTAAAAGGCTCAAGTAGAGGCGGGGGAAACGCCGGGTTTTCGCTCCAAAATGCAGAAAATAACGCCGAATAGAAGCTCCCCTCCCGCTGTGTTGCTAAGATACCCCCTACCTCAACGATGCGGATTCCCGCCAAAAAGTCGCAGCTCCCCACACCCCCACCAACGGTTTAAAAAGGCTCCACCACCCCCCCGCCCTCGCGAAAACTTCCCCACTTGGCCAATCAACCGGCAGGGGGCAAAAATAAATTTCCCGCCCAAATGCCTTAACTTGAAAGGACGATTCTTATTTGATGATGACTTTTGAGAGTCGCAATACAGTGTAATTCGCCTTTAAAGAAATTGATGAGAAGCTGAAGTTCTTTTCGGTTAGACCTCAGGACCACGCAGGGGCAACTCGAAGGGGTTTTCTTTGAAGAGAATGTGTGTAGAGTCAGGAAATAAATTTTCATAAGAAGCAGGAAGTAGTTCAATACTTAAAATCTATTTCTGGAGAAGAAATTTGTCAAGAGACGGGTAGTTTTTTAATGCAAATTTTGCATAGCAAAGGTACGATACTTAAGCAAGGAATGTACCTGTAAACAAAGAAAAATATTTGAGGAAAAGCTGAAGATGGTTTAGAAACAGCGTCTTTGAAACTTGGCAACTTTAAGATGATTGGTCTAAAAGTGGTTCAGGCACCAGGCTATAAACCAGCAGGGTTTGAGTTCTAATCCCACTTTAGACATGAAAGCCTGCTGAGCCCCTCCCTCCCTCCCTCTAGCTTAGCCCATCTCACAGGGTTGTTGTGGAGAGAATAGGAGGAGCAGGGAGTATTATTTATCAATATAATAAAATTGGGATTTAAAAAAAAACTAAAAAGAGTGATGTGTGTACTCCAGATTCCAGAATAGACCAAGGAGTGCATAATTTTAAAAGCAGCCTATTCCTAAAAAGATGATATCCTTTTTCTTTAGTACAGTGTTTTTCAAACTTGGCAACAATACTCTGGAAGTTGAAGATTGCACATCTTAAAGATGAGACTATATCAAGGATGCCTCAAAGATCCATGTATAGTGTGAATTGGTATCATCCAGGCATGTTGGCTGTGATTCTGTTCATTCCCAGCCTGTGGTGACTAAGTTCCCCAAGCAGACAAGATAACAATATCCATTTTTCTAATATCTAGCCTGCGGTCCTGATTAAAATGTTCAGATAAATTCCATAAGATTAGTTATATTTCCTCCTTTTCTAGAAAATAAAATAAGCTCTGATTGTGGGTTGTCCTTGGGAGAGAAGCCATGTGAACAGTAGCAGTGAGTGACATTGCATTATATTTTTTGAGCCTACAATGACTCTAAATTGCTATCTTGGAACAATATGATATATTCCCTGTAAAATGTCAGTGTAATCCATTTGGTATGAGAAAATGTATTCAATAAAGATATGTTTTGGAACATCATATTGTGAATATATTAAGCTAGGTTAAATACAGAAACATAGCACTATATTTTCATATATATCAAGTAAGTTAAGTGAAACTTAACTTCCAGTAAATAGGTAAAAGGATTATAGACTTCCTATCAATATGTTTATCATTAAATTTTATTATAGTACATAAATGCAAACATTGCAGCATCAATACATGCACACAGATACAAAGACACAGCTATAAATATATGTACAGTGATATTTTTTTATTAATTGCACTATTTTCTTAACTCTTGCTTCATTAATCAACAGCATTTTGACCTTATGCTTCTGCAACTGTAGAGGGCACCCTTGCTTTATGAATGTAAGTACTTTAAAAACATTTTAAAATTGGTACTATTATACAGAAAAATAAGATATATTCAGATTATCACAAACCATTGACTATGTCAGGTCTTTGGTATGATTTAGCATGGAACTTTTGATGTGCTTTATTTTGAGAATGTAAAAACGACTAATTTGTATTTTATGTACGTTAAATTGTTCAATTTTTTTAAACAACCATTAAAAGAAATCATGTTGGATTAAAAAGAAATTATATTAAAGCAAAAACATAAAACATTTAAAATATATCTGAAGAAATAGTTTCTGAATTTTTCACTTTTATTTGTAAAACTGCCTTCGTATTTTGAACATGTTTCCATATTGTTAATTTTATTCAAGTTTCTTTCCGCTATGTGTACATGACCTGCTCCTGTTTAAATATGCCAAGCATTTAAGTATACTTTCTTTCTGAAAAAGTCTGATGAATTTCTTTCTTTCATTTAATGAACTGTTATATCAAAGCACAGCCATCAGCCTGCAGAAACACTTTTATTTAACGGTGGTCTGAATTACTTTTTATGTCCACTTCTATGGATCTATAATTCTCCATTTCTTACCCAAGATGTACCTATCTTCATACTGCAACTTTCTGATGCCCATACTTTGTTTTGACCATTCTTCATGGAATGGACAGGAAATATTAGAATCTGGTATTATAATTAAAGAGGGTTCCTCTAATATGCCAGCAAACAAATGTTTGTGATTTCTTAAAGATGACAAGTAGAACAACTAACCTTAGAACTGAAAATGAAGATATCAAAGGGGTGAATGGCTTCTGCCTTTTAAGATCAAACATCAAGTGTAAAGGAACAAAGCAGTGAAGA